AATATTTCTCTTGCGAAGACGTTCGTTGAATTCTAATTGTCTCCCTGCTACTCGTATGTATGAAAATAAAACGGTCACACATATCTAGTAGGTCATTCTTTATTTGGAACACGACATCTGTAATAATGCAAATTGATTTCCATTTAATCAATTGATACAACGGATTTACAGATGTTACCCTAAATAGATATTGCAACTGATTAAAAACAGCTATTTTATAACTATTGTTCGATGTCTAAAATTATTTTGATTTTCTTTTTACTTTTTTAGAGCGAAAATCTTTTTAAATTTTGAATACAACTAAATGAACGTAACATATTAAAGACGCCGTTATTATCTTTTGGATATTGAAGAAAATCGATTAATTTTTTTCAAAAAAGAGACGGGTACCGGTATGAATAGGTGAATAGGTTTTAGTAACTGTTCTAGTTGTAATAACAATAACAATCTATAAGCGGTTTTTAAAGCTTTCTCCTGGAATTCTCCTTTCATTCCAGGTCTTTAATGTTAACTTGTAAGTGCTAATTACCATTCGCGTTTTTATTGTTGCATGGTTGTCAGAATTGTGTTTTTTTATTTTTACACACGCATTTCATATTTCACTTTCGTCCGATTGTGCAGCAGCAGGCATTTTGTGAGAGATTTTCGACATTTTCTAACAGAGTTTTTTTTTTAATATGATATTATTATTTGGATATTTCTAAAATACTTATTTGTAGATATTTTCAACTTCTCGCTAATGTAACGTTTTTTTTTTCAAACATCAACGTTTTTTACTTTTCTTTAATCATTACATTAAAAACAGTGTTTTTTTGCTAATAAGTTTCTAATTTGTATTATCCGTTTTTCAAACTGAGGTCTCTTCTTCGTTCTGCATTTTTCTACTATACTCCCCATTATTCTTTTATGTTAGGCTTAATCTTCTGATATTTTGTATGTCCTGTTCTTGTTTATCATTTATTTGTTTATGTATTTATTTCTTTATTAATTTTTGGTACACTATTGAAGACTGCTATAGTTTTATACTCTTTATGTTTGATTTTAGCATTTGATACTTGGGACTTTTATGTTTATTATTTCGTTCTCATGTTTTCTAAAATTGCCATTCCTAAAATGTTTTTGTTAGCCCCCCTCTCCGTTTGTCTATTCCATTATATTTTTTCAATTGCTTTCTTTTATCACAATTTGTTTAATTTCTTTTTTAATTACTTTTCGTTTCTCTTCTCTTCTTGAAAGCTAAACTTTCCTCCCTAATTGCCTTCCTTTCCGTTTCAATTATCTCGACTTATGTGTTTTACTTGTGATTAGTAATAATGGACGCATATATAGTCTTTGCGTTTTCTACGGTGCTGTTACCATAGCTGCTAATATTAAATGTACATTCAAACTAGAAAGTGGGATTTATAAACTTGCTATTGACGTTGAAGTTCCCGTTGCAGTTGCTGTTCCCGCTGACGTTACTGTAGTAACTTTGATTTTCAACTTTTGCCGTATTTAAAGGGATTGTAGAAACAAAGTGGCGGATTTAAGTTGATTACTACAAAAATTTACCATGTTAAACATGCTTTAAGTTTCTTGTTGCAAAAAGGAGGCGTTTATTAAGAAAAAAGGGAAAATGTAGCCCCGCCCACCCACCCTATCTCAATTGTGATGATTTTTTTATTCATTGTAAAATCCGTATTTCTCTACGAGAAATTAAAAACATGTTTTTGAGTATGGTCTTGTTCAAAGAATACTACGTATATTAAGAAAAAAATAAAGATAAAGATTAGGCCCCACCCATTCCCGCCCCAAACTCAATTCTCAATTGTGATGAATTTTACATTCGTTGTCAGATCGATGGGCGGGGCTTAATTGCAAAATGCATATTTCCTTTCACAAATTTACCGTTTTAAAGGTGTTTTAAGTTTCTAAGAATAAAAAAAATCGTTACAATATTTTGCCTTTTTTTTTCTTAATATATACGCAGTATTCTTTGAACAAAACGATACTCAAAAACGGGTTTTTAATTTCTTGTTAAGAAATAAGTATTTTGCAGTTAAGCTCCGCCACGGTTCACGGAGAATAAAAAAAAAATCATCACAATTGAGATAAGGCGAGTGGGCGGGTTGACATTTTGCCTTTTTGTTTTAATATGTGTAGACTACTTTTCACAACATGAAACTTAAAACACGTTTAAAATGGAAAATTTGTATAAGGAAATATCGATTTTGCAAATAGGCTCCGCCCGATAATTGCAAAATCCATATTTCTTTGCAAAAATGTACCATTTTAACCATGTCCTACGTTTGTTGTTGTGAAAAAATGGATATGTATATTAAGAAAACGAAGGTAAAATATATGCCCCGCCCACCCGCCCTGTCTCAATTTTGATGATTTCTTTTATTCATCGCGAGCGGAGGGGCGGAGCTTAATTGTAAAATCCTTATTTTTCTACAAAAATTACCATATGAAACACGTTCATAAGTAATCGTGTTATACAAAGAAAACTAAATGTATTATTTAAAGATGCAAATAAAAAGGGAAGCCCCACCCATCCCTCTTGATCTCAGTCGTGATGAATTTTTCATTCGTTGTAAAACCAAGGGGCGGGGCGCAAAATTGACATTTTGATTTTCCTATACAAATTTACCATTTTAAACATGTTTTAAGTTTCTTGTTGTGAAAAGATGACTACACATATTGACAAAAAAAGGTAACGGCTCACCCGGCCCATCTCAGTTGAGACGAATTTTTTATTCGTCGTGAGTCAAGGGGGCGGAGCTTGATTACAAAATCCTTATTTCTCTACAAGAAATAAAAAACTTGTTTTTGAGTATCGCGTTGTTCAAAGAATCCTATGTATATTAAGCAAAAACAAGCCAAAAATTAAGCAATGACTGTGTGATACCAATAATAACAGTATTTATTGTATTTCCAATAAGATAAACCGATCTATTCTTTTTTTATTCACCTACATCAGCAAATCTAAAAAAATGGTCGAAGATTATTACCATAGAAATTTCCTGGCACATAAAGTACAGTAGGTACATCAAATTCGGCTGCTCTGAAAATGTATATGATTTGACTTTGCGAATTTTATTTTTTTATGATACCACTTATAAGTTAAAATAATGACATGTACCTTATGTAATGTTTAAGTAAATGTAAAGAAGCGTGCTACGCGTTTGTTTCAAGTGAGTTTTTCCATTACAAAATTTTGTAATAACGTTATTAACATTTTTAAAACAATGAAACAATTTAATAAAAGCATTAATAAGTACTCGTTATTTAAGACAAATAGCGATAACGCTTGTTGAGATTGTAGACGTGAGAGTGAAATAGAAAAACTAAAAGAAACGACAAATTCTGTGCTAAACTCGTTTTAGATTTTAACTCCCTACTGGGTTAATCTTGTTGTTAAAAGTACTTGTAAAGTGACTGAATTACTCAAAAAAATAATTCGTTACAATTACTCATTACTTGGAAAGGAACTGAATTACAGTAATGAATTATGTACTTGTAAGTGGCTCAGCCTCCCCTGACCATCCTCTAGCTGTGGCCCTGTCAAGAAAATATGATATATTTACTCCACACTATGCTCAATAAGTAAAAATGGCCTCTCAGCAATGGGTTATGAAATATCGAGAAAATATGAAAGCACCACATTGTCCAATGGACTCTATTACTGTACATCCTTAGGTTATCCTCGATAAGAAAAACAACTTGAAAGTGTTTATGTTTATATATCGGAACAATGTCACATAGAAATTAATTTGATTTGAATGAGTTCATCACCTCAAAGCAGAGAATTAAAGTTATTAATTAAGCCACAATCGACAAAATGTTCTGAATACTATTATTATAATTCTTATTTAATCGTTATTAAATACAGACGTGCGTATTCTGACATTTTCGAGAAGATGGGGTGACTCGTTTTTAATTTGATCAATACAAAATTAGAGAGTACCTAACTAATTTTAATTAAATTTATTTTGTCAAATGAAAAAAAGGGATAGGGTGGTTAGACATATATATTTTGATTTTTACCATGCTTAGCAATAAATTGAGTCATTCATTATCTTTGCTGAGTTACCTTTTATATGCAATTCTAAAAATATGATGGCAATGTAAATAACAACTATAAGTTCATTATATTTTGCACAATTTTTATAGGATTTACTCGGTAAAATTTTGAGATGATGTCATAATTTTTTTGGTGGGGATAAAGAGAAATATTTTGATTAAAAATTTACCGTGCTTACGACAACTTTAAAACGTCTGCATAATCTCGGAACATTCGGTTTTGTAGTTCCAGATTTAATCAATAGAATTAATTGACTTAATCACTAATTTTTTTGAGTCCCAAACACTGGAAAAAACTAATAGGCCATTTTTCATTTAACAATATTCCTTTTTCATAATAAGCCTGGAAGAATCTGATTCTGTTCTAGATTATTATTAACTCAGATAATTCTAATAATAATGATGAAGTCAACACAATATCTGTTAATACCAACTGATTGCGAACAAAGTAATTTATTTCTTTATATTATTTGCCTTGTTCTGTGATCCATATCCTATCAGAACCATCCTAAATATCGAAAGAAAACGATCAAAAATGGATATGGATTTTTGAAGTTTTGCCTTTCATAGAATTTTTGACTTGTCATTGAAAATTGAAAATTTGAGTTGAAAATGCAACGATCAAAGACAAACTTTCAGTCCGTGCTGTTATTGCTCTCTCGGTACCACAAAATCGGCTGTAGTACATACATACCATATATTGATCAGTCATCATAATTTAATAGAGAATTGACAATAAAAATGTCAAAATTACAATTTTCTTTTTAAAAGTTTTTCTCAATCAATTGGCAGCTGTTACACATTGCTAAATTTTAAGAAAATCGATAGATGAATGGTTCCAATGAAAATGGTAAACACAACATTTAAAAATAGCGTTATTGATTCCTAAATTTTTATTCCCAGTGTATATTCTGCCAAATTTGAATTCACCGCCACTAAAAATGACAGTTCCGTGGCAATCCGATCGCCACGCCAGCGACAATTTCCCAAACTACCTCTTTTCATATTGCCGTGCTTGGTGTTTGTGAACTTTTTGTTAGTACTGAGAAAACTAGGTTTTTCTGATTGTTAATTTTTCTAATTTTAGACCATAAACAATGGAAAACGACGCTGGTGAATTCGTTGATTTATACTGCCCCAGGAAATGGTAAGTATAATCAACCACGTGTTGGTGGTTTTTGGTTAGATTGCTTGTTGTAGCTCTGCGAGCAACCGAATTATCCACGCAAAAGACCATGCTTCAATCCAGCTGAGTATTGCCGAGGTTGATCCCCAAACTGGAAGAATGACCGACACCACTAAGAGCTACGCTTTGTGTGGGGCTATCAGACGGATGGGAGAGTCCGATGATTGCATAGTCAGGCTAACCAAGAAGGATGGAATTATTGCTAAGTAGGTATTGTGCACGAATAAGTCGCACGTTTTGGAAAGGTTTGGAGGATTGATTGAGTTTGGTTTTTTTTTATATTGAAACTCAAATTGGGAGTGTGAATTTAAAATATTAGGGGAGCATTACAATACGATGTTCAGTAGAGATGATTAAGAGTTATGACTTATTACAAGCTACATTTGCATTTACATTTAACAGTTTAAGTTTTATTGTTGTCATATACTTAATTATTGTAAATATGTATTGTCAAACTTATTTTAGTGAAAATTACCCACTTAGACTAGCTGCAAGTTTCAGCACTAGTTGAACATATTTTTATATACAGTAAAACTCTGATATAACGAACGACCTACGGACAGCAATTCGTGTTCGTAATAAACGATTGTACGTACTAAAAGTATAACCAAAGAAATTTGTGTTTTATATGCTATTGAACACTAACTTTAAAAAAGATGTAATAAACTAGATTGTTTAGCACAAAAAAAGTTTTAAATATGTAATTTTATTTTTTTAAAAAGTCTGTTATGCTTAACTCTGATAAGTAGTGTTTTTTACATCCTATTTGTAACAACTGTAGTCCGTTCTGAAAATCTTCTCACCTAGTGAATTGTCAACTACTTTTGCAAGGTCTTCTGCTTTCTGCCGAAGAACTTCTCCACTTACTGGAACATTATAAGCTCTTTGCTGGCTAAACTATTTTAGAAGAGCACCATCTATGTCTTCCCTCACCGAATCACAAAGCCGCTTAAGTTTTTTCAAATTCTTACTAGAGTTTGCAGATCGGATCTTTTCTCGTTGTCCCCATATTGTTCACACAGTGGATTTGGATAGGTGAAATTCTTTGCAGAGGTCAACATTAAAGGTACCTCTTTCTGGTTTTTCGATTATATCTATTTTTGTAGACAAAGTTAACGAAAGTCTTTTTCTGTTATTAAGCGCCATTGTCTTAACGAAGTTAAAACACAACTGACTGCTACATTCCGGATGTTGTTGTGTTCCGTCTGGAATTGTTTCTAAGAAGTTTAAAGCCGATCTTATGTTCAACAGTTCGTTATAAGCAGTATAGTTATTGATTTTCGTACGTTATAAGCAGGTGTTCGTTAAAACCGATGTTCGTTGTATGCGATTAAAAAATGCATTGTTTATATGGGTCTTTAGACGGGACCAAAAAATTCGTTCGTTAAAAGCAGGAGTTCGTTGTATGTGAAGGACGTTATAACAGAGTTCTACTGTATTAAAAAATTTATATCCAACCTTGAAAATCATAAAACTACTTTAACACATCTGCATTGGTTTGTTTTACATTGGAAATTAAAGAAATTTGATAAAAGTTATTCAGAATTAAAAAATACACCCAAATGTGTAATTGTGTTAAAACTTTTTTTTTTAATTTGTGTTTCTTTTTAAGTTCCAAATGTATTTTTCAAATATAATTGCAAATGTTAGATACGGTAGTCACAGTTGTGTTGGACAACTGACAAAATTTTAGTAAACAATGCGTTAAGTAAATATCAATGAAATTGAGAATGATTAATATGTGATGAAAAGCATAACGTTCCATTGCAACTCAAGCAGAAATCACATTTTCAACAAGATGGCGCCACAGTTCACAATGTTGAAGTTGTCTCTGGATTTTAAAGGTGAATAGGTCCCAATAATCTTTTGATATATTATAAGAGAAATTTATCAAACGAATTCACAAGCTTGACAAAAAGTAGTTGAAAAAGTGTTAAAAAAAAGATTTTTTTAAGAAAAATATCAATTCAAAAATTCGTAGGTTTTTATTTAACGTGGTAGTTGTGTGCATTTTGTTTTTAAAAATTGAAAAATTAATCATGCGAGACTTAACTAATTGAAAATTATTTACACGCTAATCGGACTTTATTTTTTAATTTAATAGAATTTAATAACAGCAAAAATGTCATTTTAGGCAAAAACATATTTACAGTCATCTTTAAATTCATATACTCTCATAATTAAACATAAAATACTTCTCAAATTAATTTTTACTTCCTGTTTTGAATTCAAAGGAGAATTATTTAGGGCTTCAGATGCATGCTGATTAAATGTTTGTTCATTAAGTTAGCTAACTACTTAATCAATTTTACCACACCGTTTAAACAAGGTATTTATGATTATGAATAGCTGGTTTGAGTCGCTTTACTAAATTTGTTATTTGACAATTGTTGTAACGAAGTCCATTGTCAGAACAAAGCACACAATTTTCCACCAATTTGCATTAATAATAATTAATAAATATGCGATTGTCTCGTTTAGAAGTGATTTTTCCTTTGTAGCCAGATAATTTTGCAAATGTGTTTTGTGGGTTGCATCTTCTGGATTCAGTTCATGGCTAGTCTTCCAAGTCTATAAAAACTGTTTTTTTTTTTCAGTGAAGGACGGTTGTAACACAGTAAAATTAATTGATTCGGTTTTTGTTGCGTATTCAAGCATAAAGTAGATTTCTTTTTATAAGGTGGTGTTTCTTTAATTCAAGGCATAATAACTAATAATTGCATAAATTTCACAGTTCTGATCTATTGAGCTACTTTAACTTTTTAGCATGCTTAATACAAATAGAGTGGTGGTTCTTGTGGAAGCAACAACAGTTACGAATACGAGTTTAAGTTAACTTCAAGTCAGTTTTTAAAAGATTTAAATAGAAGCTGTTAGATGTATTCTATTCTATTATTGAAAACATTTGTGTGAAAATCATAATGAAAAAGCAGGACAAAAGGGATTTATTTTTTAATTCTAAAGTCGCTGCTCTCAAGAAAATGTTTCGCGATAGGTAGATATTTATAGATTAATGTAAGCTGTCGTTTCATCTCTGCTTAAATTTGGCGGGTGTAACACAAAATCGAACGATTAAAATTAAATTCAGTTAATCCGTGCTGATACTGTATCTCGGAAGATTTGTTTTGAAGTTTCGAGATCATCAAATTATTTAATGGCTTTCGTATCTTATCAAGAGATCTATCCAATATACACAGCATCCCAATACACTACAATCTTAGAGCAAAAAATAATAAGTAATTTTTAGACTATAAGAAATAGTATCTTTCTTTTTTCGTGTGAGTTGTTTTCATCTACTAAATTTTTTCTTTGTTTCAGGAATTTCTAAGGATTTATTTGAGCATGAGCGTAACCAGCACTTCTTGTACTTTTGTGGTTGAATAAATCTTTATTTATAAACCGTATTTTTCCTGTTCCCACGAATTAAATTTCCGTGCCAAATAATATCTATAATTACTACGGCACGCACTAAAATCATTCGAGCTTGTGTCCGAGTGGTACCTCCACAAACCTGTTGGTCAACTTTTTATTAGCGGTAGTACTCGTTAGCTGACAGGTGCTGCACCCTACATTGTCCCAAACAAACCCATTCCAACATGGGGCAAATAGTACCCAAATAAGGAAGTTTTGCATAAGATGGCCGAAAGTGCTTGCAGTGTTATGTCAAACAGTGTAAATACCCAAAATCAAGTGAGCTGTGCAGTGCAAAGGAGCAACCAAACCGAGGAAAGCGAAAAGACTGATCAAGGTAGGAAAATCAAACATAACCTCAAAATTTCAACCAACAGATGCGTCGATTTCTGACGGAAAAAAACACAAAAAACGTCCGAATTGCGGTATTTCGAAAGAGAAAAGCGCCCTGCGGTGGTATCCGGCGAAAAAATTGCGCTTTTCTGTCGTTTCGTGGTGTTTTTTGCGGGTGACACCAAGTGATAAAAATTAGGTTATGGTATGACTCACACAACGTTCACTTTCGCTCGTTTGGGGCCCCTAAGTCAAGGTTAAGTAGTGTTTGGGGGGTTGCAAGTCAAGGTTAAGTCATTTCCTCATGACTAAAGCGTGTTTCATTCGAAATTTTTTGATTTTAGTGGAGTGAATCAACAGGCTGCAGTCAAACTCTGCGTTATCATTGGCTGGATTCACGCAGGTCATCCACTGACAAAACTTTTATTGCAATAATGGAACCAATGCTTTTGGAAGATTACAAGTACGGCGAAATGCCACAAACCGTTGCTAATCTACTGGAGTTCTTCCAAACGAGGAACATTACTCCGGACAGAAGCGACATCGTAGTCGGTTTTCTCCACATATTAATGCTAGAGACAGGTTTTGTTGACAAAAACTGCACAGACAGCGTCCAAGACTGCGATTTTAACTACCAGAGACTTCTCCGACACTCGAAGACGCTCCCACAGTCGTGGAAACGCACTAGTTCTTATCAGATGGATTTTATACTGAATTCGTGTCCACACATAGCTTGCAGTATCGTCTGTGTTGATGTTTCAGATGACCTACAGATTAACTGCACAATCAAAGATATAGCCTGGTACAGTCTTCTGGTTGATCCTTTAACATATTTCACCAGTTCGAAAATAAACCTTGGTAGCTTTGGTTTTCAAAACTTGCGCCACTTATCGCGGAACTTTAAAGATTCCATTGCTTTTCCTGCAAAAACCGAAATCGTGAATACATGCAAAGGAATTTGTGCTTGTTTTCAACATTTACCGCAAGAACTTCTTGTGAAAATTATGTGCTATTTGGAGACTGAGGACGTTTTACGTTTGGCTGAAACGTGTCGCGATGTGTGCTTGTCAGCGCAGGATTCTTCGTTATGGGTCAAATTACTACATAGGGATTCTCGAAGGAAGCATATAGTTAAGTCATATGGGGAATTGAAGTTCTTGTATAAAATCAAATTTGCGCCGATCTTGAATAAAATATTGAATAGACAAAGAGTTTTATAGTAACATCAGATTTTTAGTTTTTGTGAGAACTTGTTTTATTATCTGTAGTAATTGAATCCCAGTGACGATAATGACAAGAGAAACTAGCATAATTTGTTTGTAATTATGGGAAACTCATTAGATTGGCAAACTACTATTTGTGTATTGTAATTATTCTGTTACCGGTAAATGTCGATTTGTTTCAATTTCACTATCCAGTTCAGAATTGTTGTTTGATTTTTGTGAAAGTTGGACAAGAATTTTGAAATTTGTTACTTAATTAAGAAAATAGTAGCCTAAAGTACTTTTCAGAACTAGGCTTCGTTTAATTGTTCTTAGCGTTTGTAAGGGTTTTCCGTTATTGTCTTGTTTATTTTAAACAATAAACTTTAATTTCGTTTTGAATGTGCATTTTTGATTTTAACGTTGGTTATGAATAGTTGACCTATTCACTAACGATATTATTCTTTTATCCAAGAAACTATTTTCTTTGTTGTAACTGTGATAAGTCAGCTACACTCAAAGAGTCGACAGAGAGATTGTAATGTTTAGATAGTGATATCAGACTTTTGTTTAAATACGCGAATGAAATACTTGCTGTGAATATAAAGTGACTTCCAACGATTTTAAATTCATTCAAAATTCGCCTGTCTTACAACGAGTTCTTTAATCAATTTGTCATTGAGAAGTGCATTTATTTGTTAAAATGCATGTTTTCTCGACTGGGAGCAGAAAATGTTTTCTAGGATTCCAACATCGTGATAGAAATAAAGTATTATTCCCTAGGGAGTTTTCTTTGTTCCGATTTTTACGATAAAGCTATAAATTTGACAATTCATTCAATTGATTTTTGACATTTGGAATTTGCACCAGCATACGTTAAGGGGACTCGCTAGACGAGGTATAACATTTTTTTGTTTTTTTGTATGAAAAAATGATATTAATATAGATGTATCATACATCAGACTGCAGCTTTTTTCATATTCTAGAGCGCAGAGACCAGTTCAATCAACTAAAAAAATATGGCTGAGAAATATCGTAAAAAAAGCACAATTGCATGTTTTCTTTTCAAGTTTTTTGAGTCATAACCATCATAGAGTCGCTTGAAAATTCGCACATGGATAAAACATCACTTTCTACAGGGCGCGCAGAGTCATTAAATGTTTGTTAGTGGTACAATTTGTTTAAATAATAATGTGTTTGTTAAAATCAAAATATACCACAAATTAATGCAAAATACATCCAATAATTTTAACAAGAATATCAGAGGAAAATTAATGATCTATTGGTTAGCAGAGTTTTTAACAAAAACTAACAATTATTGAAAAAAATGGGTATCAATTCGACAGAATTTGAACAGTTAGTTCAGTACTTTGCCGATAGGAGCGCCACTAAAATTTACGGAAGCGACTTTCCAGGTAAAACCCTTATCGCCTGCTCTACCATAAGCTGATTGTTAGAATTCTCGACTGATTTTTCTAATTTATGGCAAGGAACTCAGTTTTATAATAAGCCGCCAGGACCGGCCGTAGTAATCTATTGTTAAGGAAATAACTTTTACGCAATGAGGTGCTATCATAAAACCGAATTAAAACTGGGGAACTATAATATTTTTACTCCACTCAGGATCCTGAATTCAATCCACATGATTACTAAATATTCATTGTAATATTATTGTTAATATATATTTTGCTTTGTTAATTAATAAAACTAATAAACATATTTATAATAATAATAAAAAATATATAAAATACAGCGTTTGTTTAACACGTATAATTAGCTAAGTGTATCTACTACTTATCCCAGAAAGGAGGTGTTTTAAAAAAGCCCTACGCCCAGTAATTTCTCCCTTCATTGTTTACTCGAAAAAAGTGCTCGTATATGTTTTCATTTGCCGAGAGATCATTTCCAAAATATATTTATAATAAAAATATGCAAGTCTTGGTGATGAAAAATGTACTCCTAATAAATTATTAAAGTACATAAAAAATAGCAACAAATTTTATTTATTTAAAAACAATCTTTCGCAAATACAGGTTCCTTTTTCTTCTTGAATCAATTATTTCGGGCAATAATGCGCCAAAGTAAAATCTGCCAAGTTTATCTGGCATCTTTTTACATATATTTCTTCGTCTTTATAAATTTTTTCTATATGTATTTATTCCTTTGGGTGTCCATACAACAAAATAAATTTGTGACTGGACTTGAAAGTACTAATCATGATTTTTTTTTTAGTTTCAATTCTCTGTCGGTCAATGTACAAAATTTGATTATTTTTTTTCTAACCGCTTCTTCGGGAGACAAATCTTGCGATTTTGAAGGGGTTTTAATTTCGACTAATGCACTCCTATCCTCTAGAACCCTGTCTCGACTAGCAGCCAAGTAAGGAAATTGTTTTGAAATAAACAAGCCACACCGTTCAGTTTTTATATTTTTATTTATTTCAAAACACTTGACAGCTTTTTCCTCACTTTGTTGTCCATAGTATGTATGATTATTACGTCTAAATGTACTGTACAACAGAGATTCCACAGTTTTAGCTGTTGCTGTAGTTGCTCTAAGTTTGTAAATACGTCCAAAATTTGAAGCCGTAACCCTAATTTCTCTTTCTTTTGCCCAAATGTGCCTGTTGCCTAGTGTCTATTTCAGTTTGGTCTAAATTCAAAGATAATTTTCTCAAAAAAACCTCTTTGGCTGTCATAAATGTTTCTGTAACCATGACAGGATTTTCTAAAAAATATTTAAACCATAATCGCAGTCGGGACCAGCATACGTACATTTTTTTACGAATACTTTGTCTAAGACGAGCTTGTTTTATAGACGAACAATATTTTTTTGTTATTAAACCATAACCGTTTTAATCACAATATATTTACTTATCCCCTCTAAAGAATTGATGACGTCACCTCAAAATTTTGCTGAATATTGTATAATATCTAAATTGTATAAAATATGATGAGTCTCTTCTTGTGATTTATCATTGCATTCATGTTTTTTGGATTTGCATATACGGGATGACCCCAAAAATTGATTAATACATAAATTTATTTTGATTTAATCAGGAACTACAAAACCGAATCTTTTGAAATCTAATGTGAAAAAAAAAATTAATAGGCATGCAATCGTCACGTTTCCGATAGCGAGGGAAGTACTGTCTAAACCCTTGAGACCAATTTTTTTGATTTTCCCATTTTTCCATTTCTCAATTTTTCAATGTTTCAGTTTGGGATTTTTTCATTGTTTCGATTCTTTAATTTTCCTTCCATTTTTAGGTTTTTCAATATTTCAGCTTTGGAATTTTGCAATATTTCGTTTCTTCAATTTTTCAAATTTTTGATATTGTGTTTTCTCGTTTTTTAAATATTTCGATATTTTAATTTTTCAGTTTTTAAAGTTTTAGGTTTTTAGATTTCTCACTATCTCGACTTTTCGATTTTTCAGTTCCATGATTTTTCAATTTGTCGAATTTTTAAATTTTAGATTTTTTGTTCTCGATCATTCAATTTTCTAAGTTTTCAGGCTTAGATTTTTTTTGTTGTTCAATTCTTGGATTTTTAAAATTTTTGTTTTTTAAATTTTCCTATTTATCAACTTCCTGTGATTTCAATGTTTTGATTTTTTGATTGTTCAATTTCTCGATTTTTTGAATTTTTAGTTTTTGATGCGATTTTTTTTTAAATTTCAGTTTTTCAATTTATTAACTTTACGATATTTCAGTTTTACGATTTTTAATTTTTTTATTTCAGTTTTCAATTTTTGACGTTTCTAAATTTTTCGATTTTTCGATTAACTGATTTTTTTATTTTCCCATTTCTCATTTCTTGATTTTTCAATTCTTTCTTCAATTGTGATTTTTCAATTTTTCGATTTCTGGATTTTTCAATGTTTCAGTTTTGGGTTTTTTCACTTTTCCGATTCTTCAATTTTCTTTCCATTTTTCAGTTTTTCAAGATTTCTGTTTTGAATTGTTTCACTTTTTCGATTTTTCAATTTTCCTTCCATTTTTCAGTTTTTCAGTATTTCAGTTCTGAGATTTTGCAATGTTTCGGTTCTTCAATTTTTCCATTTTTTGATGCTTCGATTTCTCGGTTGTTCAATTTTTCGATAGGTATTTTAATTTTTCAATTTTTAAGTTCTAGATTTTCCGTTAATTTTTTTGTTTTCTTTGATGTTTTGATTTCTCGATTATTCTATTTTTCAAGTTCTCGGTTTAGATTTTTTGGTTTTCCAATTCTTCGATTTTTAAATTGTTTAATTTTTAGATTGTTTAATTTCTCGATTTATAGATTTTTCAATTTTTCGGTTTACCGATTTTTTTCATTTAAAATATTTCAATTTTTCAATTATTAAGTTTTCGATTTTTCAATTTTGGTGTAATTTGAAAACGGTATTAATAATACATTTAGGCGAATAAACTTGGCTTGATAAGCCTTGTTTGCTCTACAGTGTCTAAATTGTGTTGAATAATATAATAATTATCTCGAATATTAAAATTAATATGTCAAAAGAATACGAGAAATGATTATTCTGTGCTGAAGGTATGTTGTGGGCCGCCTGTCATAAATTATCATTATTCTGCGTTATCGGCTTACGATGATGCAGAATTATCGTAAGCCGATTATGACCCACGTCCGGTAGTCGTCTATCCTAGCGCGTCAGGTAGATTTAAAGAAGAATTACTGGTTGCGTTTAAGGCAACGAATGGCGCCCAATTCAAACTTGTCTCTCATCTAGCGTTCCGCCTTAAGGGTGCCCACTAGCAGACCGAAAAATGAGCTAAACAGATTTTCATTTTACGGGCGTAATTTCAACTTTGAAAAAAAGATCGACATTTCAATTGATAGATTATGTCTAAATCTCTGGGGAAGACACAATATTTTTTAAAATAAGTGATTGTTTAGTGTTTAATTAATCGTTCATTCTTCGAAGGAAATTGCATTTTTAGACGAGGAGAGAGCATTTTTCACTTCAACTTTTATATCAGTGCAAAGACAACATTGAGCTCTATGGGGAAGACACGGTCATTTTTGTTTAAGATTTATATTTATCAAAATATTTGCTTTTTAAAAAATAGTGAATAATGAAAATAAAGTGAAACTAGGCAACCCTATTTACAAAGTTTTCCGTTTCAATAAATGGCTGAGTTTTACACAGCAGGGAGCCTTGCCGACCGACCCTTTCAGGTAATCAGTTCAGGTACTTTAGGTCATAAAACTCATAAATACTCTTAGCTGACCAATATTGTCGAAACTCTTTTACAAGGCGACTTCTTTCATTGCTGACTTAATTTGATTTAAAACTATGCAAATTTTTATAATTTTATACATTCTACTAAAATATTTTCT